TGGAATTGGGAAAGTAGTGAATGATGGAAACGAGTCATAGCTCCTGATTTCTCAAGTTCTAGAAAACAAGGAATGGTCAACAATGGTAGTAACCGTCCAGAGATATTATCTTAGAACAAAATATGTAGTATAGTTATGTAGAAATATTAAAATACCCCTGCCACAGCAAACTTACAGAATTGCACATTTCCACATTCCTGGTTGGATTTTCAATCAAATATTTTTTGTAAATTGTCAGGGCTATTACCTATTTAAATAACATTAAATTTATTGAGTACTTCGGTTTGATATAGGGTAGGTAATAACGCAGGTTTTGTATTGAGATTTCAATATTTTAGCATGAAATAAATTTACTAAGCAAACTATAACCGCTTATTTATTCTCCATAAGAAGGGAATATATTTTTCGAGAGCTATTTAAATTGATAGTTTACTGGAATTTTCACCTAAACAATGCTATTTGTATGTTCCGTAAAAAATGGTTTGTTAAGAAATCCCAAAATCGCGTTAGGGGTCAAAAATGGGAAAAAACATTTCTGAGCCAATAAAAACCGCCCCCCATGCTGGTTTTCAAACTTCTTAAAATAAAAGTAGGTCTACACATTTGTCCCAAATTTCATAAAAATTGATATACAATTTAAACTCCAGTTATCTTGCTAACTGACACACACACATATGTATGTATTTGGAAGGATGGTTTTCAGCCCCTGGGAATCAGAACAAAAAAGTATATCAGTCCCGGGTCCAGATCTTACCACGAGTACGGTAATAGCTTATTCCCCTTCATGGAAGTTCGCTAAAAGTGAAGAGAGGTTCCATTCCAAACCTCATAAATTAAGTTACTGAACTAACTTAGTAAATCTCTTTGAGTGATCGACTCAACAAGTTTACTTGTATTGCAGTCCTAATAGTCTAATGTTCAGTTTAGAGGTGTAGTAAATTTGTACTGAAAGCAAATTACATAGTTTTACCTAGTAAAAGTTATTAATTCTCTTTCAGTAACCATATAAATATAAAACAATGTAAAGGAATTATCATAGTAACAGTATTTACAATTTTGGTATGCAATGTAAACTTATTTGATACCTGAGGGATTTTGACAACAACAAGTTGAATAGTAAATTTTGAACTGATTCTTTGAGTATTATTAAGCTTGATGTTAAGTATTTTCCTGCTCGCTTATGCAAGAAAAACAGTAGACAATTTAGCTAAAACGCTAAAAACAGTAATTTAGATAGCCATAACTAATCTAAGATTAACAAGTGTGGCCATAAGTGTGTGGCCATATAAACTATGTGTGAAATCCACGAAATAATATTGTGAAAAACGTCTCTCTTTCTTTGTGGGTATAAAACTCCCTAATTTTGAAAACACAATGGTATTGATGTCAATGTCTTGAGTTCGATTGACATTTTGGGATATTTATTTAACAACAACAAAATGTGTACGATGCTAAAAGATTTTGAAAGCTACTCATATAAAACATTGGTAGGTGTGATTTTACCTGGCAGGACAAAACGTTTTTAAAACATAAAACTTGATAGACAAGAATCCAACGAAACGCGTTGGCGTATTGTTGACACTAACACGATTTCACCTTCAATTGATTTCATTGTTCTCCATGTTTCCACACTGCTGGTTTCACATTTCTGTTTCAAATTTTAAATATTTTCGTTTCACATACCACAATCAATTCTTGTGGTTGGCCACCAGCTTTGTTAATAAAGTAATACTATCTGGATTTGAAAAATGTATGTGTTCTTCAACCACCAGATATATTTTAAGTTGAAAACGAAAGCTTAAATGTACTTGTGTTTATTTAGTAACAGAATTCGAATTTCCAAAGTGGCTCTGAAAAAGCCGTTTCGATTTTACGTACAGCTGACTAACTAGGAGAAAATGGTGTTCGTCACGAATACTAGAACAGAAACGGAGTGTAGGGGTCGCGGTCACTGGTCGTAAATCCAGGGGCTATATTTATATCATCTAACTTAACATAACTAACCTAACCAAACCTCTATAATGCGGATTAGGACCAGAGGTGGCCGGTTCTCCGTTTCCCACAGAAACGGTGTGGATCTTAAACATAAACAATTGACGTCATTGGCCCGAATACTATACTAATAGCATTAACAGCTGGTTAGGACGTTTTTTGACATTTGCATTTAAATATCAATAAAAGCATGCTTACTACTGGGCCAGTTAAGTCACTTGTTTATGCTGATAATCAATACAGTTTCTGTTCTAATATTCATTGTGTTCTAGTAATCTGGGCACCAGTTCGATCCTAGGAAAAGTAGACTGCTTTTTGATGGTTCGAAAATGGGCCCAGCTGTTCTTGAGCATTGGCTTTCAATGAATTATCCCGCCTAGTGAAACAGATGATATTAGACAGAAACAAAGCTACACCAATCATTTCACTCAATTTTACACTCAATGCAGTCGTATCTATTATCATAGATAAAACATTATATTATTAAAGTGATACAATCAAATGTTATGTAAATGGTTAATGCACCATTAGTATTTGGATAGGCATAAGGCACATCAAAATGAAGCTCAGAGTGTGTAGATTTGCCGAAAATTGTTGGTTTGAACGAATTCTCTTAGGGCTCTGCCCCAGAGGCCGATTTCCAAAGGGCTACGCCTTAAACGCGTTATTAGATTAATTTAGTGAACAACAGCTGCTCCATGCATTTTACATTAGTTGTTTATTTACATTTTTGTTTACTTATATTGATACAAGTGAAGTGCTTTAGGGTGTTTTAAAAGACGATGCATGAGATGAACAATACATGTGTGTTGGTCGTCCAAGAGGCTGTCACCGATCTGTAATAGGACTTCGTGAAAGAAGGCGACGAGTTCAGGTCCAACCGTATGCCTACTCACCTCGGCCACTTCAGGACGTAAAGTATGATGGTCCCGCTGCTTTTAACATTCCTTCTGATGATAATTTCTCGAACTTGGGCCCTTTAAATGAAATGTATAATCAAACCCGTGAATTCGTGGGCAGAACCTCTTGTTTAACATAAAATACTTACGCACTTAAGTGTGTGTCGCCGTCTCAAAGAATTGATCAATCATCAATGATAATAATTGAATATGTATTATCCTCGGGTTTCTGTTGACGAAAAAGGCATTTGTTAGTGGATGCCCATCTGTACCCATTAAAAATTAATCGTCCGACAAGAATGTTGTATATTTAACCACTTTTGAAACTACATACAGTAGTTGGGTAAAGCTTAACGCGTTTTTTGTCACGGCTAAGAAAAGGTAGACTTTAAAGGGGTCAGTTGCTGTCCTAACAGTTCGTCCATACCTTAAACACCCCTAATAATATTATTCATCATCCTAATGGATTAACTGATGGCAATTTTAATTATGTTCGGTATGTTTAGAATGTGATTTTATATACCTTTTAATTTTTGTCATTCATAAAACTTGAGTTTATCTAATAAAACAAAACGATCTAGCAAGATATGGCCAGCATTTGGTTGCAATAATTTAATTACTAAACCAACATCCGAAGGAGTTTTTTGAAGCAAAGTTCTTGAAGTAGTTTGGGCGTAAAACCAAGTAACATAAATAATAGTTTAATAGCAATCAATAAATAAGGCAGAGTAAGTTGTTTGCTTCATTTTAGTTTAAACATTTACCATTACAGATTAATTTACAAACACGTTTGTGTTTGTATGCGATTTTTCTGGGCCCTTCGGGCCTAAATCGCAAAACCTTAAGCCAGCTTTTGTCTGCACACATAGACGCGTGTTTTAATGTATTACATGTGGGTGTAAGTCATAAAACGAAAATAGTATTGAATACAAATTGTGTAGGGTGTAGGGCATTCAGTGTAGGTTATAGGTTCTTTTTGAATTCAGTTTGAAAACAAGCAACAAGTGTCAGTGTTTTAAGTTTAACAGTACCTAGTAAAGTAGAAAAATCCAAGTCAATTACTTATAACAAGGATATAGTAACTTTTATCAATGACAAATTAGTTAACTCTCCCTACCCTTAAAAACATAAGGTTATTTAGACCTCCAAAATGAGTATGTAATATTACCGGTTATATAAATAAAAACAAAATTGCAAGTTTACAATCCGAGCAATTTTAAAGTTTTCAAATTAGCGTCCCTTATTAAATTTTCCCCATTGTATTCATCCTGAATTCAAAAAGTGATTTAAAGTAGTTATATATTTTTAACAGAAATCTAGATAGGAACCTAGATTTTTACCTTCTTTTCTAGATAAGATCGAGTCTATTCTGGAGGTGTGATCCTACAAAACATGTTAAATTTACTTGACAAAATAACAAAAATTGGATTGCTGTGATAACTTGAAAGTTAGTAATAGTAATTAAGTAACATAATCACGTTAGTGACAATTGTAAATAAAATCCAAATTATGAAGAATATAATAACTGAAATAATAATAATCATACTTTCTTCTTACTTGTAGCTGGCAACAAGTTTCCCCATTAAAACATACACCCTTCAGCCTTATGGATCAACTGTTGACAATTTTAAGGCGTGTTTCCCTTCGGTATGAGCACAGTACTTGGTGATGTTTGGTATGTATTTCTTGTCATTTTACCTTAAACCATTTATTTGTTAACAACCCAGCCCAAATACTAAAATCTATTAAGTAATTAATTGTAAACAATAAACATTAACCAAGAACGCTGCGTATGACCTCGGCAAGGCGTATCCCACCGACGCAACACCCACCCCATGACAACCATAACAACCCCCATAACAACCTCTTAACAAACCCCATAGAAAACCCCATAATCTTGTCTAATACCATCACGTGCCCATAGGCAAAGAAGGTACAGGACTTAACCCAAATACCTAACCAGTACATACACTCCTAAATCTATTTTGAGAGAAATTCTTATTTAGTTTCTATACTATGATACAGATTCGTCATTTTGAAACAGTTTTTGAACGTTAAATAAACATGTCTACTCTATTTAGTGTGTATTTATAAAAAATGTTGACTTACATATGGAGAGCGTCGAGTCGTACCTCTCCATACAAGATGGAGGCGGTAGGACTGAGTTGGGCTTGCGTCAAGTATTGATCATGGAGTCATTCATAAGTGGGTTGCCAACCACTGAATGGGCGGGCCTGGGTGGTAGGTGCACTGCGTAGCTATTTTCTTGATATCAGACTTGCTACATCGGGGGTCCTTAGTTCTAGGGTTCTAGTTTGTATGCTTTTGTTACTATGTTTTATATAGTTAAAATTAAAGAGAGGTTTTCAAAATTTGTGCACTTCCGTAGCTATCTATGTCCTTGATATAAGACATGCTACATCAGGAGTGCTTAGTGATAGGGTTCTAGTTTGTATGCTTCTGTCTATATAATTTTAATTGTTAAAATTAAAGATGGGTTTTCACAGGGGGGTAGGTGTACTGCTGTAACTATTAGTTTGTATGCTTCTGTCTATATAATTTTAATTGTTAAAATTAAAGATGGGTTTTCACAGGGTGGTAGGTGTACTGCTGTAACTATGTCCTTGATATCAGACTTGCTACATCGGGATTCCTTAGTTATAGGGTTCTATGTCTCTGTTTCTATGTTTTGTGTAGTTAAAATTAGAGGGTTTTTCATAATTTGGGTGGTAGGAGCACTGACGCAGCTATGTCCTTGATATCACTATCAGACTTGTTACATTGGGAGTCCTTAGATGTAGGGTTCTACTAGTTCAACTAGTTGTATGCGTCTGTTTGTACAGTTTCGTAGTCAAAATTAAGGGGTTTTCATAATTAGTGCACTTTAAAGCTATCTATGTCCTTGGTATTAGACTTGCTCTATCGGGAGTCCTTAGTTCTAGGGTTTTATTTTATATGCGTCTGTTTGTACAGTTACGAAGTTAAAATTAAGGGGGTTTTCAGAGTCTTAGTTCTAGGGTTCTATTTTTTATTTGTATAATGTGCACTGCCTTAGCTTAGTTCTTATTATCAGACTTGCTACATCGGGAGTCCTTAGATCTAGGGTTCTAGTTTTATTTGTATAGTGCACTGCCTTATCTTAGTTATGTTGTAACATAAGCTCTAAGAGAGGTTATGTTTTTGTTTATACACACTCATTGCCACCCAAATACAGTAATCAGCTGATTGGTGTCCGGTAAAACTCATTACAGTATAGTAGTACGCAATGAAACCCCATTTTGATTAAGCTGGCGGCAAACAGTTTTTCTGGACTAAATCCTTGCGTGGAAAGTTCAAGTGGAAAGTTCAAGAAGTCAAAATAGTGTAGTGTGGCGTAAAGTCTTTTCGTGATACTGCAGCAAAAACAACCGCTTTTAATGCATGCGTTGCGGATCTAATGTAGCAGTTTTCTAGGGAGTAAAAATCAGCTGTTGTAAACAGTTGTGAATTTTGATTGTCGTATCGATCGAAATTATTTATCGATTGATTTATTAGGTAAGGTCTATTATTGTCGATTGCTCGGCCTATCGATGGTAGAATGTACTGTCATAAACGTAATAGACGAAATGATGAATCACTAAAACAGCTGATTATCTATTCTATTCTGCGAATCTTATCTACCTATTCTGCATTGGCAGAATTGAAAACAAGCTGGAGAAGTAGTTTTGAGAGGTTATCTTTACATAACAAGTATTTAGTTATCTAGCTTTGTTTGTTAATTAATGATGCAATATGACGAAAAATATAGTTCACCACACGGGCAAAAGGTGACGCGAAAAATACTAAACCGACAGGGTTGAAATTTGGTATGATGGTAGCTCACATTCCCGATTAACATATTGACATATTATTCTTATCTCAAAAATCCTTTCGGGCCCCGCCCCAGTGGCTCTGGAGTTTCTCATGTTAACCTTATGAGTATTCATATTTAAAAGGAATTAAATAATTTAGTCAACTATTTCAACTCCACAAGTTGGTTCTATGATATTAAAAAGTCATAAGGTTCACCAACAGAGTTCAGCACTAATATTTTTTTGCATTTATGACAACAACTTATTTGAACCAACTAGCAACAAAAAGCTGTGGTACACAATGAGAACTTTACTTTTTTCTATGGTTTAGGTGCAGTGGTAGAACATTATGGCTATGGCAGATATGTGCTATGCACATGCCGTATAAATAAAAAATAACCAAATGTTTTTACCGTGTCGAATAACCTGTAATAAGCATTTTATACGTATGACAACCCCGTACTAAGGACGGGTACTCTACTAGTATTACATAAATTAAAATTAGATATATATAGTCACATAGTTGGGAAAGTTAGTCAAAAATTCTAACTAGTTAGAAGTTATAAGTTAGTCCCGTAAAAAGTAACTGATAGAAGTTATAAGTTAGTTAGTTTAAAAAATAGCTGATAGAAGTTATTAGTTAGTTGAAAAACTAACTGATAGAAAATAAAGTTAGTTTTAGTAGAAATTAGTTATTCGTTGGGCAGTTGTTTTAAAGTATTTTTTAATGTCACATCTTGGTTACTAATATATACTATAATATGAGTAAAGATTGCGCAAGATATGATTTAAAAAATGGCTCCTACGATTTCCTCCAATTTCAATGCTATTGAAAATTGCTTGTATAATACATTTGCATTGTATGATGTCTTACTAACCATAGGGATAATTACGACTGTTCAAAAACATTAAGTGTTTTACTGCAAAACAATATACACTGACATTGAACTAAAAATCTAAAGGAAAGGCCAAGGAGATTTGTATTTTTTGACTATGCACCGCACGAATTGATGCGTTATTACACCATCCCGTAATTATAGTTGCAACGTTCCACGATCCCAGTGACTTAATGTATCATGGGTTTTATATGGATTGAAGCTTATTGTGGACATTTTATAGATTGATCGTCCAAATTAAATAGTTTTGTAGACTAAATTGAGGATAAGTGGATGTCTAACAAAAACGAATTGACTTTACTACTTAATTAATCGTAGTAAGACTGAAAATATTTGTAGGCTTGTAAGCTCTATTTTTTACCTCTTGAACAAATCAAACACCTCGAGCAAGATCGGTCCCCTGGTACTTGTGGTTTAATCAAACATTGTCACATTTTACATTACTACAACATAAACAAATGACATAAAACTTGTCAGATAATGAACATCAACTAAAGACAATGTTTTGACACTTGAGATGATATATCAATCACCAAACAAACATTTCCCCTTCCCACCCATCAGTGCTTGGGGTGTTGATAATGGCCGTCACTACCCTTCCACAGGCCCACTGCATTCCAAAGCAACTGGACTTTGACTTTCTCTTTCCCCACCCCCCGCGTTGTTTGTCTACAAGGGCACTGACCTCTCACGGCCACACGCAACCCTCACTGATCACGTGAAATAAATAACCAGTATTTGAGATGCTTCCGCATAATTGGAAAAGTTAGTTGAAAATTCTAACTAGTTAGAAGTTATTAGTTAGTCCCGTAAAAATTAACTGATAGAAGTTATTAGTTAGTTAATTTAAAAACAAACTAATAAAATAGAAGTTAGCCAAAAAAACTAATGACTAGTGCTATTCGATAGAATTTCTATTCGTTATTCCCAAGTATGATAGTCAATGATTGTAGTTAAAAAAAATATTGTTTCCCCATTCTGTCTGCATTGGAAGCCTCTGCATTCTAGTGGCAGAGTTGAGAACTAGAAGTTCTTGTTAAAGCCAAAAGATGCCGACTACATACAGGCAACTACACTCGCCATATTTACAAGGAAATACTGAGGGTCTGTAATTATTCTGATCCATAATTTGTTTTCGTTATTCAATGTCATAACTAACTAAATGTATTAATGTATCGTCTGTCGTGGGCCTGTGTGAAAAAAAGCTCGATAATGCAACTCGTTTTTTTCCAATGGCAGGTTTGCTGCTATGGGGGTTTGAAAAATTGGTGGTACTTGAATTTCATATTAAATTCATACACACTTCAGAGTGGCAAGATAACCGTAAGGAAACTTGCAATCGTCATTTAAGTAAATTATAATTAAATAGTCATGCGACCCTTCACCGATAATCTATAATTGAAAATCATGAAATCTCTATTGATTCTCTAACACTTATCTTGTAAATACCCGTAAAATGTAAATTTGAAATAAAGCATATTGAAGTAGAAATACCTTTGATTTATAAATACGTCCCGTGGTTGAAAACTCGACCGAAATATATATTGTGCAAACTTCTCTTTCTCTATTTTTACCATACGCTGTAAAAAAATTGATTGGAATTTATTCCATATGTTTTCATTTTCTGTTTATATTTCGTTGTTATTTCTTTGACAGCATAGCAACCCATAAGGCTCATGCCAATAAAAAAAATTAAATTCATTTTTCGTGCTTTTTTATTTTTTATTATTTTTAAAGAGGTTGGCGGTCTCTTTTATAGAAAAAAAACTCCGTTCAAACAGCCGTGGCACCTGACGGATTAGGAGACCCCATGGAACCCCTTGGGGCCTCCTAATACCTCAGGTGCCACGGCTGTTTGAACGGAGTAACCTTGCATTTGCACATAGACTGACCGTCCGTGCTTGGAACGTATCCAGCAAAGCAAGGGGTGAGCCAGTACAGTACGAAGGTGAAATGTGCTGAAAAAATATAGTTTTGAGCCTGTTTTAATTTATAAAGGGGTTCTGCGAATCTAAAGGCAAATGTCTTTCTATCAGTATGCGTATATTTTTCCTGCAATCCACACGAGCTGAGAAAAAAAGTGTTCAACAAACATGCTTGCCTATTAATATATAGATTTGCATACAAGCTGGGAAAATAATAAACCAGTTTGAAGTGATTGAAAAATCATCGAAAAGCAAACTTAACAGATGTCTAGTATTGGAGATAGATTAGTAATTATTTATTTGATTAGTGTATGCATCGTATGTAAATGAAACGCTGTAGGCTCTGCTTTTTTAAGTTGACATAACAATTATGTTATTTGCCTGATTGAAATTTTACTTAAATATCTGGTTAAATATGGCCGATTATTTTCCTATTTAAATAAAATTGGGTTAAACGAATACGGTACTTGGGTTTTCTGCTACAGGGGATGTAACTGGCGTGTTTTTTTAAAGAAATGTAAAATAAGGATGGTCAGAATATATCAATAAAAAGCA